ATTTACAGAGAAGTAGCGGTGGACCTGTTAGTATTTTATTTAACTCTGAATTAAGAGTTTAACGTTAAGCTTTCTCGCTGATGCTTTGTAGCCAAGATCAGCACATTGTTCACATGCATCTCATATGGCTTTATGTGTGGATTAAACAAAAAAGAATTAAAACTAGAGAAAGTGCATTTCCTATGAAAATGCAGTGTGAATACTTATTGCTGAAGAACGTGCTGAAAAACAGCTGAAATTAGCTAAAAACATGCTAAAATGTAGCTCAAATGGAAGAACAAGCCTAAGTTAGCAGCAGAAAGAACACATATTTGCTGAATTAGGATTAAATAAGCAGAAATGAGCACAAAAATAGGAAATTACCATAAAAATAGCTGCATATAGCAAAAAAAATTGCTGAAAAGTAGCAGAAAAGGCTGAAAGAAGCTTAAACTACTAGAAGGAAGTGGAAGGAGCTGAAATTTTTTTTTTGAATTAGCTGAAAAAGCTAAATTATGTACAAAACAACTAAATAGTAGCTGAAATAGCAGAAAAAGCTGAAACTAGCAGGAAAAAAGCTGAAAGGAGCATAACAAGCTGACAAAAATAATTAGGACAAAAATGATTAGGCTGAAAGGAGCAAAAGTTGCTACAAAAAACTTGAATACAGTATATCTGAAAACAGCTGAAATTAGCTAAAAAACTAAAAAGTAGCTGAAAGGTAGAACAAGCTTAAAATAGCAGAAGAAAGCAGAAAGAACATTTGCTGAAATAAGCAGAAATGAGCAAAAAATGTGGAAATTATCTGAAAAAAGCTGAAATAAGCAAAAAAAAAAAAAAACCAGCTGAAAAGTAGCTATTAAAGCAAAAAAAGGCTTAAATTACCAGAAGGAAGTGGAGAGAGCACGTTTTTGCGGAAGGCTGAAAAAAGTTGAAATGAGTGCAAAAAAATGTGGAATTAGCTGAAAAAGCTCAAATTAGCAGAAAACAGCTCAATAGTAGCTGAAATAGCAGAAAAAGCTGAAACTTGTAGAAATAAGCTGAAAGGAGCAATTCAAACTGAAATTAGCAGAAAGAAATTAGACGGATCACAAAACATTAACTGAAAGTAGCTGAAAAAAGTTTAAATTTGCACAAGAAAGCTGAAAGAAGCTGAAGCAGAATATAATGTGAAAGGAGCAGAAAAAGGTTGTAAACAAATCTAAAGATCTGAAAGATGTAAAATGAGCTCGGTTCATTTTCTATGAGAAAAAAATGTGTCAGAAAAGGCTAAATATTTAAAAAAAGCTGAAGTTGCACCAATACCAAAAAGTCATAGCACCCTTCTCCTGAATGAGCTGAACATTCTGATATATGATTTGTTGAAACAGCACAAAAATTGTGGAACGAGAAAGATGCCAAAAAAAAAACCATACTGAAGAAATAATGTATAGTATAGTATAGTATAGTATAGTATATAGTATGAATGCTTCATAAACATTCACACCATTAAACTACTATTTCTTAAAAGATTGCCAGAGTTTTGCACTAAGGTCATCTCATGTTGAGAGTCATTCCCGTTTTAGACAAACCATGAAAATGACAATCTGCACAAACTCATGCACTATCACGAGATGCCACGGTCAGAATATGTGTTGTGTTGTGAAGGACTCTCAGCTGCTTCCAAACTTTAGCTTTAAATCTTGAAAGTTTACGGAGTTATAGCCATTTCTCTGTTGGCTAATGTTGATTAGCTGTGGTGGCCATGTTGAATTGACTTGACTCCATAAGGTAATCAGTTGTAGAACATTTACTTCCTGAAAGTTGTATTAAACTCCATCCAATGAGTTCATGAGATATTTTACTAACAGACAGACAGAGTTGACTCTGAGTTGTTAATGACAAAACAATGTAAACAAAGATCTTGTGCAGTCTGTTAGTGCTCAGATTGTGTTGCTTCAATTAGAAGCTCTCCAGCTGCAGACGATAATTGAAATGCATTGCTGCTTTCTGCTGCATGTTATTCAGCTTTTACACAAGAGAAGTATTGAAGATATCATCTAACTTGCAGCAAATAAATCTTTTTTTTTTTCCAAAATGTCAACCTTTGAAAAGGAATCAAAGAGCTGCTCCACTGGGAGGTTTCTGTGAGCTTAAACCAAACGTTAAATGCTCCACAAACAACGCTGCAAAAAATGTTTCAGTGCACCCTTAT